CTGTTGCCTATTCCACCTGTACTTTCTAACTCCAACAAGCAGTGGTGGTGCAGCAATGTCACAGAGTTCAGGGCACTGTGGGAACTGCAGTTCTGTAGAGGAACAATAGAGTTTGCTATTGCAGGGAGGAGATTTCACCCCATTTTTTTCCTACTAAAATTGGGAGTTTTTCACCGGTTCATCAGGGGTGATTGCGGCAAATAAAAAAGAAAAACAAAGGAGGTGATCTCTTCCTCCTTTAGCAATAGCAGTGAACTCCAGCTGCTGCTCCTGCACACTGCCAAAGCTCCCAGAGCCAGAAGGTACAGGGGGGAGGGGGGAGGAAGGACTGCCCCAGGCACATTCCTGGGCAAGTATGCCTCTGGCCTTGGGCTCCAGTCACTAGATCATTTGCTCTCAAGACCAAAGCTTGAGCAACGTAGACAAGCGGAAAGCAAATAATACAGAACCAAATATCTGTCTTGACTTGAAGTAAGTCCTACATAGAGACCCTACTGGCTATGGACAGAATCCTAATGCTTGGCTCCTCAAAGGAAATCTCAACTCCTGCATTCTGCTCTATTATGCACATTACCTACCTCAATCAATGAAAGTTCTTACATATAATAAGAACATAGTGCCCTAGCTAAGACTGGTCATTTGCATACAAGGGCAGAATTTTATCAGTAGAAGGGATATAATTTGGCCTTGGATACCCTGCTGGAAGGTGGGCCTAAATTCTGTTTCAAAACACCTGAATTTTGTGACATGCTGGTATAGGAAAATAGACATTTTATTGTAGCTTCATTTAAGAGAAAAATGAAGGGTTTTAAGGAATTAAAGAGAAAAATAGAATAAAAACATTAGTATCCATCTCCTCTGGTATTTATTTTACTAGTAATTAGTAATTCCAATTTATTTTGTATAAATTTGTTGTAGCCTATTTAATATGAAGCAAGAAATACATTGTATATTTTCAAGCATCTATTGATTAACTTTCTGAATATATTAAAGCAGATAGGCCAGATGCATTAATATGGCAGAAAAGAAAGAACCCTGTATTTCTGGTACTTTATAATAAATAAAATGTGGTGTATTACTGGCAGCAGCTTACCTACTTACTAGTATTTTTCAAGGCATTTACACTGTTATAACTTAACATTTTATTGTAATACTAGTAATAGTACCTAAAGACTATCCACATTGGGATCCTTCTGTGATAGGTGCTATACAAAGTTATTAAATGACAGGTTTCCTTCCACAAAGAGTTTATATTAGGCTAGTCAAAGGTTTTCTACTAAAACATTTTTAGTGGATAATGAGCTATTTGGTTACAACCAGTTCATGGATAGGGCCTGATATTCTGAATTATTTTATTTCTCTTCAGATAACCAAAATGAGAATCTTGGCCAAGAACAGGCCAAACTTTTTGACCAAAACATTCCTGGTTCAGCATTTTTTAATGAAAAATCCTCATTTTATTCAGGAAAACTAAACATTTTGCAACCTGCACCAGCTATTTGGCCCTTATTACATTATCGCTGAACACCTGCCACCCCTTTCTCCCCTCAAACTTTGACTAATGAACTAGAACAATATTTTATTTGGCTACCTTGGCTGGCCTGTAATTATAACTATATAGCATACTGTAGTATTTTCTCTTGGTTTTGTTCATATGTCTTCAACTGGGGGACCTGCCCATGTTGCCTTCATTACACTTGGTCTTGAAGTCTTTAAACTAATACAGTCTTGAGGAACACAAACAGCAGACCATGGCATTTACTGCCACCAAGATCTTCTAATGTTCCATGCAAGACAAGATGGTTTAGTTCACTGTATTGAATAAATCTCAGTTCTAGCTTAGTTTCTAGCCAAACTAGAAATGCAACTACAGGCTGAGAAGTGTGCCAAAAATTAGAAGTGGGAAACAGGCAACCAAGCCCTGTATGATGGGAATAATTATAAACTCTCAGGTGGGCTGGTTTGTCAAAAAAGAAATACAACATGCCTACTGTTGTTGAGCACTACTACACTAACAGCTAAACATTATTCATTTTCCAATAAGTACAAACAAAGAAAACCAGAGCAGCTATTTAATGCAAAGATATAGTACTATGAGGGCTATTGTTAACAATTAGTTACTTCAATGATTACAACTAGTCCATTAAAAATCATTTGTAGGGGCACTTGTATACATGACGATCTGGCCATGTACCTGTGATGAAACATGATGAATAATGGCCATTTGTCTAGCATAATGGCATCACCATGTATACACGCACAATATTTTTGTGTCAGACTTTCTTTCAGCAGCTTAGACCACCTCCTATGTATTTTAATCATGGCAAATTTATTTATGAATTTTATTTTTATTGTGGCAAATCTATCATATGTATGTGTCACATACAACACTGAATTCAAAAAGGAAAAAATGAACCCAGAATGGATAGGTAGAGGACCGTGATAGTTTATGAAATGAGTAAAAAGATACATGTTCCTGTTTGAGTTTCTTTTGAGTCTTAGAGCAGAATTCCATCCCCGTTTCTACATTCAAATACAGCTTCCTAGCTGCCTAGGAGAATTTGGCATTGTTGCCAAAAATTCCATAGTTTCATAGTAGTTTGGGGTCAGAAGGGACCTGAACAGATCATCTAGTCTGACCCCCC